ATTGTTCAAAACTGCCTCGTCGAATGAAAAACGAAAGAAATATGATTATTTTTCCGAATTATCGTATGGGATCATGGTCGTGATGATGTCAAGCAAATCGATTGTGATTGTAGACGCGCAAGCATCCGAATATACGGAGAAAATGTCAACGTTTATACATCGTCGTATTTCGTCGGAGAATATAATTCATGTGATGGCAACATCACGCTATAAAAAGGTCGAAATGACATTCATGCTTAAATCCCAGGTAAAATGAAGTCATCATTTCAAAATTAGATATCGAGTCTGCACTTTAAATGGCAAACGATTTTAAAATTTATGGTGACATTTTGTCGATTGGTGTTAGGCTTTAGCTCATCTCAAAACAGAATGGAATGTCTGGTTGTTTGACATTTATATGCAAAGCCATCGAACGAAGAAGAAATTGAAGAGACCGAACAAAAAAAAAAAACGTTTTTTTGGCTCGTTTGAAATATAGCGTGGGGGTGCATGAAGAGATGAATGGTTGGTTCGATTTGTAATTCACCGGAAAAACCACGGGAAGCAGAAAACATCATTTGAATTCGCATGTTTTTTTGCTATGTACAAATTTTCACGACATTTATAAAACGAATGGCGAAACGTAAAAGCGGAAATTTTGTTTGCCGAAATGTGCCAAGGCGTACAATGGCGACGATGCTATGCAAAGTAAGTGTGTGTGTGTCTAAATCAAACAGATTTAAACTAGAGAATATCAAGAAGATCGGACGACCGAGACCGGGGACGTGGAAAATGTGAAATTGGCATTTATAAAATTGAGTTGATGTGCAAATACGAAGAAAATATCCGGAACCAGACACACTTGCACAAATGCGAAAATCCTGTCGAAATGTAAAATGTAACTTTTGACTATTCCCTCTCTCTTTCACGAAAAATATACCATATTTCGCTTTCTCTTCAAATGCCATTTCAATGTTAATACCTACCGTATGCGGCAATGTGTTCGCGTATCGTGTGCTTCTTCTTCTTCTTTTTCAGTAAACTTTCGTTTGCCTCTTTTTAACATTTGAAATGAAGACACGGTGCCGCCTTTTACTGATTTCCCATTCATTTCCGTTTCACAGTTACGTTTCTTACGTTTTTTCTGTCAAGCATCAATCGTAAATTTAAATTTGAGGTTTCCATTGGTTGCAAACCATTTGCCATCCAGGGGCATTCCATTTCATTCACATCTGGATGAAAATACATATAAAATCGAATGATTAAATTGATGTCAGCCGCACTAGGAAGTAATAATAACTTTCTTCTTTCGACATTTTTGGTTTCTCTTCCTTTTTTCACGGAATTCACCTTGATTTGTACACAGCATGCCATTACAATTTACCATGAACAGACAGATAAAATGAAACGAATGTTGATGTTGATGATGATGATGCAAGAAGAAAAGAACGAAAAAGTTTATTTTCTTATATCCGCTTTGCAAAGTAAATGTCGGTTACATCGTGCATACGTTTAACATGAATTTGTTGAAAATGTATGCAAGTTATGCCCCCTGCACACATCACACTACTTTTAAGTGTGTAAACCCCATTTGCGTTTTATTTCATTTATTTTTTTTTTCGATTTACAATTTCGATGAATAAATGATCAAATAATCCATGCTCGAAAAAAATGAATGTTATATAAACCGAAACGAATTTTCCATTTTAAAAACTTTAAATCTAAAAATAAATGCCCATCTCCCGAATGAACGAAATCGTAACTCATAATAGATGATGAAAAAACATATCAAATTAATGGGTTGGACGGAGAAGAAAAAAAAGAAACACCGTTCGACTCCTCGAATGGATCAATTGAATGTTTGGTTCGATTACGGTTAATTTTTTATAGAGGATAAAGTAGGAAAATAACAATATTCATGAGCCGTCGCCACCATCGACGACAACGCCGACGACGACTTTTCCACCGAACTGTATAAAGTCTTTGCCATTTTGTGTCCCACATGCTCACCCATAAGCTCTGATCGAATTAATACTTTAATCGCATTTCGCATCGAATTTACGCCAATGTAGTTTAATTCACAAAGCATTCGGTACATTGTGTATAAGTTATATTTTGAATGGCAAGCAATAACTATAACCCATATGCAACCAGTTCATCACCACATATTTTGTGTATATATTGGTGTGTGTATGCATAGATTGCGGTGTGTTTTCAGTCTTTTTAGCAAATTTCGTAATATTCTTGTTGTTTGATATGTGTGTATTCAGATACGCACGCGATATTTTCATTCTCTCCGACCCAATATGCTCTTACCGATTTAATAGCATTTAAACCGAAAATGAAAACAAGAAAAGTAGTAATATGAAAATGAAAACGATGGGTACAACAAGGTACAACCAATGCCGCCATCGGGAATAACGTTTTCGGTTTGGCAACGAACATTTATTTTTATGATGATATTCACTTGTTGTTTTGGCGTATATGTGTGTGCAAAATGTGTATGTATGTAATCATTGTGGGGTGCTTTGGTTAGATTGTATACGGATTGGCTATTGTTATTATGAATACTGGGTGAGTATATCGACATTGAGTGCTGTAATCGCTTAATTGCATGCCACATATTTTTCCATTCAACAATGGCGTTGGCGAAAAAAAAATAATAATCCATGCTTCATTCAACTACCCGAAGTACTTGTGCGGTCGAATTTATTTATACGCCACACTTTTTTCCGCTGTTGTGCGTTCATTACACTTTTATTTTGATTCAAGCACTGAATGCGAATGCGAAAGTACTGAAGTTCATTTTGAACAAAAATAATTCAAAAATCGTTTACGCGAAATTGAGTTCGATATAATCCACCGACAATCGAAGCATTAATACGCAACGCTCGCCCATACACCTCGATACTCTGGTACGCTCTTTTCCAACAACAACAAAAAAAAGCTGTAAAAACCAAATGCAAGCAAATGTATTTTGTATTTTGTTTTATATCGAAGTCAAAATCCTCAGCTTGAGCGCAATTGTGGAGAACGGGGTGAGCATCGCTTCAGTTCAACTCGTGGAAAATATTTATTGTCTTCCACATGTATATTGTATTTGTATGCTCATAACAATAAATTTGGTTGGCCAAACGGATGCGAAGTTTTCGTTTATTATTCATAAATGCCTTTCGAGAGATACAGAGAAATGAGAAATATAAATACAATTGAATGGTTGAGAATAATAATGAAACTTAATTTTTGTTCAAACTGAAGTGTCACTTCGGAATATTTCCAATAAAAGTGTCCCAAGTTTGTATATAGTTTGCCATATAAACTTGGGACACTTTTATTGGAAATATTTCGAAGGGACACTTCAGTTTGAACAAAAATTAAGTTTCATTATTATTCTCAAGCGTTCAATTGTATTATGCCATACATATGCGCGATAAAGTGTGTGTGCGTTCCTCTTTTGTTCTTATGTAATAAATGGCATGAAAACCTTTAAAAGTTAACAAATTATAAATATTAAATTAAATTAAGGAGTCGCAATAAACCACTTGCCATGGTCATAAATGTGAGTAGTTTGCCCGCTAGTTTTGGGTTAAAAGAACCATTTTATCCTTGTCTCTTGGTTGTTTTCAAATTGCTTCAGATGCAAAACAGATCATGATTTAGGATGTCTAAATGCTTCTCCGAAGAGCCATTTTCGTGCCATTTGCCTCTGACTTTGAACATGGAACAGAACCATTGCAACACCATAAAAAAACATAAAAAACAGAACCATTGCTACACATTGTAAAATTATATAAACAACATTTTAAGGATTTATTGCAAGCATTTCTCACGCTCTCTGTGTCTCTCTTTCTCTCGGTTGCTAGCCGCTCTCTGCTAAATTGGTCACTATTTACGGGATCGCGAGCAGAAAAAAAATCTAATTAATGAAATTTTGCGCATTTTTGTTTGAAAAAATGCTCCAGTTTTTTTGAAAGTTTATTATCAAATTATTTAGCAATTTAAAAAAAAAATGTTGGTTCATATTTTTGCTGTTCCGTTGTACAATACAAAAATTCCTCCTGCTGCGTTATTCGAATTGTCAAGGTGTAATAATGCTGTAAATTATTACAATGCAGCAATTTAGCATGAAAAGAGAAGCAAAAACTCATGCACAGAATTTGCCCACTGTTGCTGCCATCGCTGCTGCCCACGTTGTTGTTTATTTGGCCGTGTGCTCTTTAATTTTTCAATTCATTTCCCTGCCGGTAATACACAATGTATACACCGTGATGATGATGACATCGCAATGTATTCGAGCGCCAATGAGTCAAGAGTGCAGAGGTTAAAATAAATCCATTCCATTTCATCCAATTTAAAATTCAATGGCTTTTTGCTTATGTATAATATGTGAGTCATTTTCACATTGTTTCATCATTCGATAAACTATGGAAGCGAACGAAAATCACGATAGTGTGTGTGTGGACGTGAAGGAGTGACGGACATAAAGAGATATAGTGAAATGTGCATGGATATGTGCACGGATATAGTCATTGGCACAATAGTTGCTACATTCACATTGAATCAACTTAAACAATTAGTCCATTTGAAAGGTTATCAAGAATTCATCGATTTCCTCTCATATGCCATGTCTATTTGGGAATAAAAAATTGAAAGAGCCGCTTTTAATTGAAATGGTCGGCTTTTATGTGGGATTTCAATCAAGTGCAGTCAAATGGGTTAAGCTCTTTTTTTAATCCACACCACAAATAACGTTCATCGAGCACTTTTGATGCGGCATTATAAAAATACATAATTCCGATGTTTTTTTATCGGTTTTATCAAAGGACATTTGTTTGCCTGAATTATTCAAATGCACAATGCCGAAAATCCACTTAATTAAACGACGAAAATATTTTTTGCCTTCGAAAACGAGAGAACAAAAATCGATATGCCCGAGTGCTGGGCGTCAGAGAACGAGCGAATATAAATGTCATTTTTTAAAGTAAATTTTCACCTAAATTAGAAATAGGTTAATGGCTTACCTTTTTCTCGTTAAATATAGACGGTGCTAATGAATGCAGAGAATCGAGATGGAGAATATTCGCCCAACTCTCGCATCCAGACACATACAACATACAGAGTACACGCAAAAAACTAGTCCGATTGTTGAACGAATGCGCCTTTATTATTCGGTCCTTCTGCTAAACGCTCGACTCAATATAGATGGCATTTTTATAAAAAGAAAATAAAAAAAACACACGCTAGTTTCTCTCTCAATTTCGCTTCCCTTTATAGTTGGCGCTTTGTCTTGTTGACCTCGTCGTTGTCGTCGTTTAAAAACCCAAGTGCTTCACATTGATGCAAAAGCGTTTCAATTGGGATTTGTCTCAAGTGTTTTTACGATTGCATTGCATCAACAACAATTTTCACGATTAACGTTTTTTTTCTTCTCTCTTTACGTTCTCGGTATCACACTCTCTTCGCTCTTTTTTTTATCTTGCAACTTGTAGCGCACTGAACTTTAAGAACCATCAACCTCAATGTTTCTTGGTGCTGGTAAAACGGGAACGAATTGAGTATGTCTTACGAAAATTCAGTTCTTACTGCAGAATGTTATTTTTCTTTGTCTCTTTTGACTTTTGTTTCAATGCACCACACACTCACATATATTCGAGAAGAAAGAAAAAAACTTCATTCAAATCTTCACTTCATGCATCCGGTAAACAAGTGTATATGGATTTTCGCAATAGTCGATTTTCGGATTTTTCAAAAACAATCTCGACAGTAATTTATTATTGCTTTTTGATATGGCAAGACCAAGAGTATCGGAACGATTCATATAACATGGGCACTGCACAAGTACTTTAGACATTTTTACACGTCAAACTCTCTCATTTCCATTCTTTCTTTTTCTCTCTCTGTTCTGTTCCTCTAGCTCAAATCTGATCGCACGTTTACTTCTCCTTTGCAATTTCTTAATAATAATTCTTTCTTTCTCTTTTTCGGTCGTTCGTCTCACTGTGTTCATGTTCATGGTTCAGTTCGTCGTCCATTCTTTTGAACAGTGTTCATTATTCGTCAATAAGTAAGATTTTACTGTCGCATTTGTACTTTTTCATTCGTTGTTTGACTACGTGATCAATAACGTGTGCGTCTATCAAATATATTTCTTTTTTCTTCTTCTTCGTCCTTTTGCGCTGCCTTTCGCCAAAAAATTTTTGCTTTAGGTAAATTTTCAATATCACTCTATGGTGGTGTTCGTTAACGTGACACAGTTACTGTTCTTTTCTTTTGTAAGATTTTGTGATTATATATATATTGGTGGCTTTCTCGTCGTATCCACCATATGCCGTCAAGAAAAATAAAACAAGAAGAAAAGAAATTTATCTTCCGTCACTTAATTTTTGCACGACGTTCACATAAGGTGGTTTTGCCAAGCAAAAATTCTCAGCGATAAACTAATTGTGATCGATGTTTTTCTGTGTGTTTGTCTGTGTTTTTATTGCCATACTTCCATCACACTAAAATCATTATTCATTTGCACACTGACATTTATAAATTTATATCCAATCAAGGCTCAGAGAGCATTGTAACGGTTTATACGTATCATCATGCGATGAAAATTCACCTTAAATTTCAGTTCGTTCCACGACTCGTTGCCCAAATAAAAAAAATGTGATATGAAAAATGAGCGTACACCACAAAAAATATCTTACGTAAGCCAAAATACACCTGACCGAGAAAAAAAAGTTGAAGACAACTTCCGAAGAAAAAAAAACCCACAACTCAGCAAAACTACTGAACAAAATACTGCACTGTTTAATATTTCATTTTTATTTTGTTTTTCTTTAAAGAATTCACAATAGCTTTTGAACTACCAAGGAAGCCTCTAGTAATAAACATCAACAAATATGTGATTTGCGAAGAATATGAATATATCTCGTCATTTGTTTTCAACGTCATCAGACGGACATTACTTGAAAACCGAACTGATTCGAATGACACCGGCAAAGTGACTGACTTACGAATGAAATCACGTCAAGATGTTCATCCTTCACTAACAGTAATATTATTGATAAAGCTTTTCATCTCGCGGAGGAGAAATGTCCAAAGTTATTTGTTGAAATTTGAATGGGTGTTGAGTCGGCGCATTGGAATTGTGTTGATTCATTTCCATCCACGTGCCATGGTAAAAAGCTTTCGTTCAAACCCATTTACGAGTGTGCATTGTTTGTGTTACGCGCGACCATTCCGTGTGTCTAGTCTATCATGTGAATCAACGGCACGGTCTCGCATTCATCCATGCCGAAATATGTGCACGCAAAACATAAACAAAGAATGGAAAGAAAGAGTAAGAGAGAGGGAGAAAAGGGGAGAAAAGAGAAAGAGAGCGAGCGAATGAAAGAGAGAAAGAGTAAGTAAAAAAAGGAACCGAAACAGTAATAATATGGAGTGTAGTCATTGTCAGTGTGTCACAAAAAACAAACTAGGCAATCGATGGTTAAATTAAACGAGCAGAGGGGTAGGTTTTGGCACACGACTCGCAATTTGGATGCTGTGTGAAATATGAATACGTTGCAGGCTTATAATAAACAAGAAAGTTGGGGCGAAATGTCGTCACCGTCTTTGTTGTTGTTTTCGTTATTCCTTTGACTGCGAACCATTTAGCGTCGAGCGCGTTGACGATTTTTCATTGGCAGTTTGTTAAAATATAAGAGTTATTCATAATGATGTACCAAAGAAACTTTGGTTTGTAGACGGTATATTGGGGATAAAAAAGGACATAACATAAATAAAGAAAAAAACATCGCGAAGGCACAATAACTACCGAAAAAAGATTGTACCCATTTATATTAAACATAAGGAGTGCATGTGTTTGGGTTGTTTGAATAAATGAATATTCGCATTGAGCTTGTTCAAATAGTAAATGTTGACACAATGACGACGATGACGCTTTGCTCTACTTACAAAAATGTTCTTTGTCGCAGCGGCTCTTTGTTCTCTCAATTTTTTTTTTCTCTTTGTGATAGTTTTGTGTACTGTATGTGCATGTGAAGTTTTGTCGTTCACTCTTCACTGGCACCTCATCCTTCTTCTCCCCCTCCATCTCCATCTCATTCCACTCAGTCTCCATTGTAGACACATACATGTCATTACGAGGGTTACGTTACCACTGCAACGATTTTTATTTTCCGTAACGGTTGTTTTGCTATTTTTTTTTTTATTTCAGGCGGTTACATTATACGACGACTTAATGGTCTATAATCCCGTATAGGTTGCGGTTCATTTTCATATGACTGACATTGACACAGCATGGTAAATTTCGCTACAATTAAAAAAATATGCTATAAAAATTGACATGTATGCGCCATATACACACATATGTGTGTGTATGTTGTGTGGATTGAATTAGTCGGATCAGTGGAGTAGCAAGCGATTGTATTTATATATTGGTCTTGCTGTTGCTGTATATAAATCGCATGTCTTGCTTTCCTTTCGAGAGTGGATTAATGAATCATACTATACTCAAAACATTATGCGCTACTTGAACGGCGGTAAATTGCTACTTGGCCTCTCTCACTTGCATACCCGCGTACTCTCTTTCCATCGAATCTGTTGATTCAATCTAGCGATAATATACTGTTGGCATGAAGTGTGTAATACATAGTAATTGAATATACGTTTAAATGGAATTAACAGAAACGCGTTGAAAGGGTTTTTTGTTTCATTTATTTTTTCTCTTTCGTTTTAATTGAAACTTTTCAACGCCAAATTGCAAAAAGAAAAGTTAAAACTATTTGAGAAAGTGTTCAATCAGAAAGTGCTAATTTCTTTCAACAATAATAACTTATTACGAAACATCTTGAAAAGTCAAATTAATCAACGAACATGTTCGTTTCGTGCAATGAAAAAAAAGAGCAAAAAAACAGGGTTTACCATAAAAAGAATATTAATATGAATTTAGGCTCAACCTAAATGATATACGCATGGCATTCCCTCACCAAATCAAATGTGAAAAATATGTTAATAAGAAAATTTGTTTCGTTTTGTCGAAGTGAGTTTAGCAAAGAGAAATGCCTTTGCGGTTTATTTTCGTCTATTTTCGTTCGATGCAAACAATGTGAAAAGAAAATGCCAAAACATTACCGCGTACTTTCAACTTTGCCGAGAAAAAGGTTCAAACAATTCACAAACGTTAGAAGTTTTGTAACATGGCAAAAGATAACGAAAATAAGGATTTATCAATAAAAGTCCAGTTAGAAAATTATTGGCGGTTGTTGTGTTTTTGGCTCTTCCGTTTTTGGTTCTATCTAAAAATAGCTAGAGGGAAGCTGCGACATAGAATTTTTAGTCTTTTTCAGTATAAGTAATTCGCTCATAATTCCAGTGTATAAAAAACTTTTTCTGCAATTTTACCATCCTCACTCTCACTCTTTGCTCAATTTCCGTCAGTATATATATATGAATCATTCGACAATTTTCAGTTGCCTAGATTCGGTGTCGCCTCGTTTTTCATATGATTATAGTCGGAGGAGTATGCTTATTTACGTTTATTTAAGCAACCATTTTTTTTCGTTTGTTATTTACATTTCATATAGAAATTTAATATTTGAATAACAAATAAGAACGACTCTTTCGTAATAATTTTGTTTATTAGAGTCGCTTCACAATCACCCTTTCTCTCCTTCTCACTGTGAGTCATTTGAATTGGTGCATGAAATTCATCTACGTGGTCACCGGATTTATTATACGTACCGTGCAATACTTGGAACTTTGGTCGTCACATTGCCAAAAGTAACAAACAGCAACAGAGAGAGAGAGAGAGCAAATGGCAACAAACAAAAAGTAAGTTTAACCCAGTTGCGCAACAAAATTGCAACATTTCAAAGCAAAATAAGTGCATTTGCTGAGAAACGGAGGGCAGTTGATAAAAAGTGAGAGAGCACGAGAAATAGAAAATAATACGACCTCCACACATCACTCTGTATTTATAGTTGTGTACTGTTATCATCCGATTTTATAATTCGTCCAAAACAATGACATTTTTTACTGCAGTAGCTGCTAAAAAAATAGAATCAGTTTATGTATGTCCTTTGCAACCGAATGCATAGTTTGTGATGCTTATAAGTCGTCGTTTTGATCGAATCTTTATCCATTTTTCGGCACATGCATGTTCGATGCTTTTTCACGACGACAGCGTATTTC